TTTTAATGTCTAGTGCAAAACGACCAGGCCTCTTCCATTCTGTTCCCAAAACCCGACCGCGTCGGGATTGTCATAATCATAGCCGAGACTGGTCGAGTCCACAAACATGTCACCGTTTCGGGCCAGCGGATAAATGGCAATCATGAAGTCATCTCGAGCGTGGCCAGGTCGTACCCCTTTTTTAGGAAACACTTTCACCGACGGTTTGTACTTGCGATGCCACATCTGTTTTGCATTCCGATTGCCGTGTATTTGTAAGGGTGTGTGTGTGGGGGGGAGTGGATCGTAATGCCCGATCAGTATGATTGTACCGTGGAGCGCAGCGTTTGGACAGGATGACAATTACGAAGGAAGATGGGGCAGAATTGAGTGAAACGGATAGAAAAGACTGATGAACTGAAATTTCCAGCAGATCGGTTATTTATGTTAGAAGGAACAGCGATAGGATACGAAGATTTTAAATTGAATTCCCCATTTGTGTATTGTATAGCAGCCCTTTGATTGGCCGCTTCCTCCTTCCTAAAAAATTGTATCTTTGTGCATTCAATAAATGGAAGTAAAATGAAAATGAAAAAAGAAAAGACGTTTGAAAACAGAATCCATGCATTTCCAAATATCGTCATCATGTTTTGGTCTTCGGGTTAGGACCGGTATTATAATCATAGATGTATGTTTCGTCACGCATATTAGTTGTTCGAATGGTGAAATTCAACTGTTATGGCCTGCCCCACGCACGTACGCGAGGCATGCAAACTTAGTCAATTACAAGGTCGATCGGCCTCAGAGAATCAGTGTTCAGTATTGACATGTCCGCATTGATTGGTTCGTTGACTGCCCAGCGTGACGACATTCTCCTTTTGGTAGCGCTTGCACCAGTTTGATCGTCCTACATGCTAGCGTGTTATCGCACAGCTTACTCACCGGCCTACGGACCGGTTACGTTTACATTTACATACTGGAAATAGAACAATTACTTAATTCTCCGCTTACCTATCTACCTGCTTCTACGAGATGCAACATCAATATATGAACAAATAAAATCATCCATCACCCATATATTATTTCTATTAGTTATAAGCTCAGATATTATGAAATATAAGTCCTTCTGGTACTGAGCTGGATGTTGAAAAATTATTCCCAGTACTGATGAAATAGATTGAACTGTAGAGTGAGGCTTGTAGCAGTCAAAAATGGGCCGACAGTGATGAGGCTTAGAAAGAACTCAGAATCGTGGACTAGGGAATCAATCGGCAATTCACACTGTTCAAAACAAGATGTTTTCTCCATAAATAGGAGGAAAATTCATCAAATCCTCGGAAAATATTAGTTACAGTCAAAAGAAGAGGTAAAGCGGAATTTCGTTGGATCATCGAGAAGAACGATGATCATCGTATGATTTCAGCCATTTTCGTTGGTGCACGTAATTTTCCCCAGATCATGGATTCGATTCTCGCTACTATCATCCAACTTTGACTGTGAAATGGGTACCAAATCCCATGGGAGCCATTTGCAGTTTGCCATGAGGCTTTTACTGATCCCGTTCTATTATCAAAAGATACACCCGAGCAAGTATGGGGTTCCCGTTGTTCATTTTTCGTCACCCCGAGGCTTGTGATAATTATCGAGAGCCAGATACGTGGATTAAAAACACACCATCCGTTAATCTACTGCTCCTGTTGGACGCACGTAATGTTTGCGAGCATCACCAGTGAAGATTCTGATACTTGTCTACAATCCCCACAGTATGGGATATGCTTTTTGCTTTCTATTTTGCATTGATTTTAAGGTTTAAACGATTCTTTGGTCTGAAAATACGCGCCTTAAACATATGCTCGACAAGATCACGTAGGTTCGTCTATCTACCTTTCAGCCAACTTTGTCCCGTTATGAGTGAACAAGCAATGTCACAAGCCAATAAATCGAATGCAGAGCTGAAAAATTGAGACACACCAATGCTGGGAGAAGCTCTTCTGGAGAAAGACGGGGTGAAAGGGATCTGGATTGCAGGGACTTCTATATGAATCCGTGCGGTTTGAGCAGCAGATACCCAAGAATGGTTTCCCCCTTTTCAAGCACCAACAAGGAACTGAGATCTCAGTGGACAATGAGACGTACAGAGATACCGTGCCAGGTGAACTGTACTGCTGGGGTTAGGCTTCTTTTTGGAAACCGTGATAAAAGAATGGATGGAGGATGGTGCGACTCAACCCACTGCACAAGGTGATCTCAGTTCCATTCATACACGAGAGGTAATATGAATGAATGGAAGGAATGAACTTGTGATCCTGGAAGTGCGACTAGGACCCATAGCTGTGCGGTTCCAAACATCCTTCTGCTCTCTCAGGTGTCTTACAGGAGAAGATGAATCCCGTGGATTGATAGCACTGAACCCCGTCTTCTGGGATCGGGCATGTGCATAAACTATAACGAATACTTCATTGGAAGTAGGACCAGGAATGGGGCTGATACTAACCTCAAGAACGGAATAACAAGTGTGTGTGGTGATGCCAATACCACAAAAGCATATACACAAAGCTTTCATTAGGATGATTTAGAGAGTTGATGAGCTTGTTGACTGATCGCTTGTCCGTAACGGGTACCGTGAAGTTTGAGGCGATGCTAGGCAGTGCGCAGATTCCATCACCATTGTATTGATTTTTCGTCTTTGTTTAGGTGTAATGCTTTGGTTCTATGGAAGATTGCCGAATCGTAGCCTGAGATTTATAAATATTGCTTACTTCAGGCACGAAAAATGGCAACGGAGCAGTAACCTGGGCGAAAGAAAACACACTAAGCAATGACTGAGATGACCGAAGTAGTATATCACTCAGGTGTTTTTAAGCTTCGGGGTACTAGTTTTCACTTTTTTACACTCATTTTTTCTCGAAAGAATTTTTAGCATACCGTTTATCTTCTTCAGATGGGGTCAATCCGAATAGACTGTAGATTAAACAATGGTTAAATTCACCTTAACTCTGGTTACAGATTATACGTTATCAACAAGACTTCTTCAGCCAGTAAAATTATTGATTTGTTTAACAACTACTTGCTAGTAGTTGGTTTACACAATAAAATTGATTCTATCGTGATATGGATGAGTGAACACACTTTGATTAACCGCGAAAATGGGGCTGAAATTTACTGTCCTAAAAGTAGCATGATTTCAATCCCAGATCACTATTTTGAACCATGAACATGTAGCACACAGTTAGAAATCTGTAGTCTCACCGAGACTCCGTTGAGTTTTGTTGAATATGGTAATGGATGCAGTTACCGATATATATATATATATATATATATATATATATATATATATAGCGCTTGAACGCCTAACCTGTTCCACAGTTCTTCCCCATAACTTTAGTGACGAAAGTATCACTTCAGTTACGGTGACTACTAAAATGAACAGACGAATCAATTAGTAGACCGTCTGTTCGAAAGTTCAATTAAAGAAACTGCGGTAGCGTAGGGCTGATAG